CTGTTACCCTCAAAAACACGGAGACATTTTTTCAGTGACAAGTTCTGTACAGGGAACTGAAAAACTTCCCTCTGGGTTTCAGAGAGAACTGGGAAAATCTTCCCCCGAATCTCGTTTTCCAAAGCAGGAACTGAATGATAATTTTCATCCAACCACAGCACAGTTGCTGCAGTATTTCTGTTACTGGAACCATTGTCTCAAGAACTGCAGAAAGAGAAACTGAAGAAGATGAAAGAATCAATCCCAGAAAGAGAGGGCTGTGCATGTGCAGATAGTGTGGAGAAAGAAGAATCAGCATGACCTTTATGGAAGGGCATAAAAGAGTTGAGCATCAGGCCTTGGAATTAGTGAATCACCCTGGGTTCACTAGTGTCCATCATCGTGATACCTGAATACTTGGGCAGAGGTCAGTGATCAAAGCTGGCATGTTCAAGCAGAAAAAAAGACTGCAAAGTGCAGTAAAAATGCTCGAGTTTGCTGCAGACCAGATTTTAGTCCCATTGAAACCTCAGCTTTGCTACAGACAAAAATGAAGGAACCCAGAATTCCTATTTGAAAGCTGACACTTGAAAATCCAGAATTACCCAAATCGTTTCACTCTGATCCATTTTAACTATGTGAGAATAGCAACTGCAGGAGGATCCTCCTCCGTCTTTTCACAGTGTGCCCAGGATTTCCAGAAGGAAGGAAGATATGGTTCTCCCATGATCATCACTACAATCTTTGGTAGCCCGTTTTCAATAGGTCACTCGCTGTATTGCAAACACCTGATCAAAGTTGCTGAGGCAAAGCACGCGTGCCTAAGAACATCTTCCTTTTACTGTTTAATGTGGACTTGTGGTCTTCAAAACAGCAGCAACGGGGTTTAAATCTACATTTACAGCAAATGTAGAGGAAGAAAAATCATAGAATCCCAGCCTGGTTTGTGTTGGAAGGGACCTTAAAGCTCCTCCAGCTCCAACCTCCTGCCACGGGCAGGGACACCTTCCACTAGAGCAGGTTGCTCCAAGCCCCTGTGTCCAACCTGGCCTTGAACACTGCCAGGGATGGGGCAGACACAGCTTCTCTGGGCACCCTGTGCCAGCGCCTCAGCACCCTCACAGGGAAGGAAGAGCTTCTGCCTAATGTCTCCTCTAAATCTCCCCTCTTTCAGCTATGAAAGAGTGCCCATCTCATAAGACATGTAAGAAGAGGCAGGCCAAAGAAAGGTGATGGGCTAATGTAGAGCTATAGACTGTAAAAGCGAGTGTTGGCACTCACTGCTACTTTTAAAGCTCCCTGTGTTTTACTTAGTTGCTGCTTTGCCAGCCAATTCTTGCCCTCTGGAAGTGTATTTATCCCATGTACATGAGAGGGCACAATTGTGTCGAGTTATCGCAGAGGGATTTCAGATTAAAATGGAAGACAAGAAGAGCAAGAAGAAACAGAGAAGGATGAAGGAGCACGTACTTCCCACTCCAATCAGAACAAGGACTTCGGGGGCAAGACGCACAACAACTGCATATCCCCCACTGCTCACTGCGGGTCAGGAATCTGTGCCTGCAGACCAGGACCACACAGGTTCCTGCTCCAGTGGCTTGGGAAAATAATCTCCCCAGGAGAAAGAAAACATACGTGTATTAACTACTCAGAAAGAGATTTTCAAAGGCTCTCGATATCCAGCTGGTCTTGATTCATATTGACTTCAACAAAATAGTCTTGGACCAATGGTGAGCGCTCTGAAAAAGCCCCTCTTCTAACTTGCCACTGAGCCATGAAAATACAAGGTATGAAAGGGATTGCTAAAAAAAAATAAAGTCGACAAATTAAAAATAAAAGGTTAAAATAAAATTTGGCTTTAGGCCATAAACTAGGGGGAAAGTAACAGTAAAGACAGTTAAATGATGGGAAAGAGAACGCAACAGGAGCTTGTCTGAAAAAAAGCTGATGGCTTTTAGAAAAGGATTTGTATAGAGAGGTGGGGAAATAAATTCCGGATGGGACAGCAGCGCAATTGAGAAATTAAATAAACGGCAAATAAGGATGACTAAGTAGTAGTTAACATGCCCCTTCTCAGTTGTATACTATTATTACATCTATTTTTAATGTCTCTGAGCTGTCTGCAATTGTCATCCTTTCTTCAGAACTTGTTCCAACGCTCTTTGATACTGAATTAGCTGTTTTTCACTCTCCGATGCTTACAACCACATCTTTTTCTTACTTAACACTCCCCCTTTCCAACAATGTTATTCCATTGTCTCTGTTTTTCATCTCTCCTCATATGTTGACTCCCCAGTTTCTAAGCCTTCCAACTACCCTTGTTCATCTTCTTTTTTTTTCTGGAGCTCTTTTGGTTGAATCCTAGCATGTTTCTTTTCTTCTTTTCTAAAGATACAAGCATGTTTTATATCATATCTGGCTACTGTACACATTGTTACCCCTTCAGAAGGGCATTGAACAGTGATAGCAGTGTTCGTGTTGGAAATAGTAAGCTAAACTAAGGGAAAAAAGAAGTTCTTTTTGGCTTTTGCTTTCTGGTTCTTAAAAAAGAACCCAAACATTTAAACTCTCCCCTTTTCCTTTTTATCCTCAAATAACACAATCTTTCCATGAGCAGCTGAATATTCAAACAATAACAGGCATCAGAAGTGTTGGCGATTCTGGAGCTCAGGATGTGTCTAAAGTGAAGTGCTAACACTAGATTAAATAATACTGAGAAAATACACAAGTTCTAATGTGAGGTATGGGCTACTGAGTGAACCTGACTTTTTCACCTCACAAGTATGCCTGCTCCTTACCTTTATAGCTAATCATGCTCCATATTAACTTGGGGACACTTAATTATATACAAAAAAAATCACTTCCAAACATGTTTCAGACACTGAACTCACCATCTTGATACCTCAGATTATTCAGCTTCATCGTTAAAAGATCATTCCTTAATTTCTCTACTTCAGTACAATTCTCTTGACCTTCCATATTCAATACCAACAATACAGTTGAGTCGTACGTAACAATGCTCTTTGGAATGCTATTTTCAATACTCAGACTTCCAGCACAGAGGAATCTTACCTTCAGCTGTGCCCGAGATACCATCAGCTTTGAAATTGCTTGTGCTTTTCTTCCGGCGGTGTTTCTTTCTGTTCGCGTGAGGTGAAGGAGGTGGATCAAGTTTGGGGCTCGTTGTGCTCGATATACTTGGGCTTGAACACACAGAATCTCCCAACCCGGTATCTGCAGTTTGGGGTGAAGGGAAGGGGAAGAGGGGGAAGAAGGAACAATAAAAGTTCATCATTTAAATGAATCGTTGTTAAAATCCAAGATATAAGCCCTTGCAGTCCGTAGCAGCTAATTTCTTGAGCTCACTGACTTCCAGAGGCTACAGGAGAGCCTCCTAACAATATCCATTAGTTCATCTAAAAGGTACAGAAAAGCAACTTGGCTGAAGTTCTGATCCAAGTCCTATTAAATTAACAGGACTCTGCATCAATTTTAGAAGCAGACCAGCTGGAACACACGAAAAACAATGGGAAATCACTTACTACTTCCAATTGCTCTTTCTTTCAAAGAACACAGAATTACAGTATCCCAGACTGGTCTGTGTTGGAGGGGACCTTAAAGCTCCTCCAGTTCCAAACCCTGCCATGGGCAGGGACACCTTCCACTAGAGCAGGTTGCTCCAAGCCCCTGTGTCCAACCTGGCCTTGAACACTGCCAGGGATGGGGCAGCCACAGCTTCTCTGCGCACCCTGTATCTCATTGATCCTCAAATTAACTCATGTAACACCAGTCCATTTTAATACATAGTGAACAACATCTTCTGGACACTATCAGCTTTCGGTCATATTAGAGATGAGCACACACAGACACAGCAATGAAGGTGCTAAGAGAAGGTAACTAATGTGTGCTGGGTAGAAAACAACACTATGATGTTTGGTGTGTTTAGTTTCCCACTGCATTAGCTATGGTAGCATAACATGCAACCACTTTAAGAACTAATAGCAGAGTCATCTTCTTCCCTCTCACACCCAATAGCTCACTCAACCAAATCAAAGTGAAAAGCTGAGGACGCCCTCCTCCCATAAGCAGAGACCCAGTCTCTTCCTGGTCCAGGTAATGGCAGGTAGTACATGAATGCCTTCTCTTTGAAGCAGTTCTTGTTTCTTCATCTAACAGCCATATTTAACACAAGTTTAGGCAATGAAGACATGCTTGAAATGTCACTTTCCCTCCGGGTCCTTTCACGTAGCAAATACTCTAGTAAACTTACAGTATTTCTCCCCAGGGTTGGTAACATGGTTTTGGTTTAACTGCAACCACTCTTCGGGCTATGATTAGTGCTAAATGCAGTTCTATTTTGTTGGCTTCGTTTTGGTTTTAATCATGAAGTTTAACATAACATCCTACACTGTAAGTATAGTGTGTGCTATCATGGAAGCGAAGCTTTTTCCAGAGCCAGAACGGCACTTAAGATGAATTATTACAGAAAAATATCAAGCCAAACATTACCTAAGAAGTAGCTTTCGGTTCTTGGAGTAACTAAATCCACATACAACTGCCTGTTGGATAAAGAAACATGGCTTTTTTCCCCCCTAATAAATTTACTCACTAATTACCCACTAAGCACAGTTGTGCTGCACGTTATTAGTGGGGGATAAATTACGTAGCCAAATGCCTGGCAACAGAGATCAAATCAAACAGAAACTTTTTATTCAGGATTTGGGTTCTTTTCTCTATGTCTACTATTTTGTAACCACTCATCAAGTATTTAACCGAAAAAGGGAACTCTGGGAATGGAGTCACTATGTATCTGTGTAGGAGATTTTAAGTATTTGACCCATAAATGCTCAAACTGACTGTCCTGCAAGGGTTTTCTACCTCTCCAGGTGAAGAGGAAGGCAATCCCTGCTGAGAATCTATGCCAGTGCTCTGCATGCTCTTGGTAAAGGGGACATGGATACATTTGGCTTCTTGACACTGAACAGAACGGGCGAAAGAGGATGCCAGCAACACAAAGGCATGAGCACAGATGTAAGCTGGTTACTGCTGGGCCTAAATACTGACTTGAGAAGGCACACGGGCTGCGTTCATCACCACGTGTGACTGCGGCGTCAACCATGATGCCTCAGACCCATGGAATGGGGAAGAAACTGCGCTCTGACGCAAAACCACAGGCTGTATTTTTCAGTAGAATCCTTGTTTAAAGAGGCGACGGTAGATCTACACAATCACTGCAGCTTAGTCTAATTTCCAGGCTATAAATTGCACTAACAAAACCTGCTCGTGGGCTCTGACAAATGAGGATCGTACGGTTTGACTACTCGCGCCGGAGAGCTGAAGAATTAACCTCCTGTGGTAAATCCTCGTGATCTGCAGCCCTTTCCAGGTAATAACCTGCTGTCCTTGCGTCAAACGGCTCTGAAGCCAAGAGCCCGAAGCTTTCCCTCCCCCTCAAGCAGAAGAGAAACACGAGTCGCTCATAAACGGGTGCCGAGCTGATATTGTTGGTGTATTAATGCCCCGTATTCCCAGTTTCGCAGACCACCCTTTGAAGATGGAAGTTATTTAACATTCTTCTGGTTTAAAATATGAGCAATCAAAAGGCGCCGGGCTTCCACGCTGTGCTTTCCCATTTCCCACTACTTCTCTTGCCTGACAAGGTATTCTTCAAATTGAAAAGAGGGCTCCTGAAAGCCCGGCTTCGGGAAACTGTAAATGAGTTCAGGCTTCAGCCCGCTGAATACAATTTCATCCTCCTGACTGAATACAAATAATGCATTTTATTTTGTATCAATTACCACGCCTGAGAACAGACGACCACTGCTGGAGCTATTAAATATATATATATATATATATATGGTAAGGAAAAAGGCACGCCAAATTAAAAAAGCAAGCACCTCATTACTCCACACCTAAACCGGCTTTGACAGAGGCACTGGAACTCATCAGATGCGTTCCACTGGGTTGGGATGGGCTGTTTTGCAACCATCCCGCACGTTCAATGTCAGCCATTAGTTCTTCCCAATCGGGCATCAATGTTCAACACACACCCAAAAAAATATATAATACTAGTAATAATAATAACAATCTGCAGCCTCTCCGAGCTTCAATACTTGAAGTATGAGTCAAAGAAGCAGTTTCACTTTTCACTCGGGAAGCTGACAAGCATGACTAGAGGGGGAATAAAATAACATTCAGTTCGCATAAATATCAAGCAGGCTGCTTGAGACTGATGGGCCAGGAATGTATTCTTAGCCATCATTCTGGCAGACAGGCCCAAGGACACTCATAACTTATTTTACAATCATTTAGTTTCAGCTCAAGTGGAAAACGTGACAACTTATCTCTGCTGACAAGATGCCATATCGAACCTTACAATTAACTCTCCCATGATTATCTGCCCAGCCCATCATTAGCTTTGCAGCTTTTGATGGACTGTACAGGCAGCTTTCCTTGATGATGGTCATCATTTGCAGGGTGTATGTCTATATTATACAACATTAAGGACAAAACTCTCCCCTTGCCACGTAGCTGGGGTTATCCTGACCAGCACATCCTCAGTTCTTCAACTGCTAGGCCGTGTTTTTAAGTGATGTGCTGCAATGTGCTGCTGAAAAATGCCTTCTCCTCCAACACGGAGCATCACCATGCTCCAGCCTATGCCTGCTGCTGCCTGCCACCTAGAGAAGTGAGCTAGAGATGCCCATGCCCTCTCCTAGCAAACAGCTAACCTACCTCCCTGCCCTCTTCTAACACCAGTGCCATTATTAACCCCTCTCAGCTGTAAGTGAGGGCTGCTGTGAGCCGGGTCCTTGCAGTTTACCTCCACACGCTCACAACACCTCAAGGAGGACACCATGAATTTCACATGAGCGTTCGGCCACTTTCTGCACCAACAAGAGAACAGGTTTGTCATTAACGGTGAGCTTCCAGTTTTGCAGCACCATGAAATAACATGAAGCTTCTACCAAGAGAGAGAAGAACTTCCACACAAACCAGTACGAGAAAGTACATTCCAGAAAAAGTAGTAAAATAGATAATTCAGAGTCTGTTGAGGGTAAATTGACACCTGTGCAAGTTATTTGAGGTCATTTAAAAACACGCAGCATCTCACTCCCTGCCCGGGAGCAACGTGTGATACCTGGTAAACAAACCCCTTGTTATCAAGAGATGGGATATTAAAAAGGCCAATGACTCTGTTGTTCGCACGGTGATTTTTCTCTCTAGGTACATGACACGTGGGATAAGACAAAGATTCTGCTTGAGCAAGTCCAGCCCTCATTTGCTTTTACTCCACAAAGCAAGTCCCATGCTTGTCTCTCCCCTAGATGCATCTTGTAATTATGTTCGTAAGAGAAATTCTTTTCAATGATGACAATTTCTGGTAGGAGAAACCAGAGCTGGAAGAGAGGAAGGGTTTTGTCTACAACTACAACACAGAGCTATGAGATGGCACATTAAATGAAAAAAGAAACCAATCAAACCTTTCCAGCAGAGTCTCAAGGGCTGTGCTGTTGCACTGCGCTTCATCTGCCATTTGAAACACATCTGGTACCAGTTTCAGGGCAGTATCTCCTAGTTTGATCCCAGGTCACTCTTATATGATGTTTGTAAAAGGTAACATTCTACCCAAGTCTCACTTCTTATCTTTTTATAGTTTTGGCTGTATTATTTGGAAGCTGCAAGTGCTCCACAAAAGGATCTCAAAAGGCAACTCCACCTGTGCCGTCTAAGGATGTTGCAGAGTCCTCCTGGATTTGAAAAGGGAAAGAAATTCAATTCATAGGATCATAGAATAGTTTGGGTTGGAAGGGACTTGAAAGCTCCTCCAGCTCCAACCCTGGCCACGGGCAGGGACACCTTCCACTAGAGCAGGTTGCTCCAAGCCCCTGTGTCCAACCTGGCCTTGACCACTGCCAGGGATGGGGCAGCCACAACACACACAACCGTCTCTCCTCTCCCTTGTAATTCAAACCCAATCTGTGCTTCCTTGGTGCCCCTAGCACAGTATGACTAACCTGCACCCCAAATTCCTCAGCATCTGCACTGAGCATGTCTGAGATTCGAATTGGAGCCATTTCTTCTTCGCTATATGCAGTGCCTGCACTATAGAGCTGCTGAAGATGCCAGCACGGGAACCAAGGAGGAGAAGAAAATGAGGGACAAGAAGCAGCTACGAGTGCCCCAGGCCAGGGAAAAGGAGCTGAGGGTGTAAAAAGCATGAGGAGAAGGGG